CATGCAGATTAACATATAAGAAACAGCAAATGTAAGAAATAATAAAGAAAAAAATAAAAATAATGATTAGCATGTAATTACTGCATTGAAAACCCTTACTGACTCAACCCCTCAAAAGTGCTACTCACATTAATGTTTTAAAACAGTTTTAAAGAACAATTATTCATGTTCAACTTTTCAAGGGAACAGAACACTGGAAAAGGGAGCAGGACTCCAAAAAAAATTTGTCAGACTAGTCAATTAATGTCAACAAGGACATTTAATTCTTCAAGAATATTAACCTGTATTTTTATTATCACCGTAAAACCCTAAAGTGAAATGGATTCTGTAAACCATTAGGTTATTTCTTTCACACTGTTACCAATTTCATCCAGAGAATAAATATGCTGCCTTTCAAGTAAAAGCGAGACATGGCTGTTACAAATAAAGTACATTTATTAACCATGAAAACTTCTTTAACATTTTCAAGTCATTATCTCACGTACCATGAACTACTTATCTACACACTGGAACTTTAGTGCTTATAGTCTAAATCTCAAATCATCACTGTGAAGATAGAATATTATCAAACTGTAAGACCTAGATAATGCACTTCTCTTTCTTGCCCTTTAGTTCTTCATGTGTCAGCTGAAGCGTAGTTTATCCACTGACTTAGTGGGAGTCAAGTAACTGAATCACTGAAATTCTGAGCTCTTCTTCAAACTCAGCACCTCATTTCCTGTGTGATTTCAGACATATCCCTTAATCTTTCTTGACTCCATTTTCCCTTTTAAAGTATCAGCTGTAAACCATTCCCTTATTTTCTTTCTTTCACAGAGATGACTGCTGTTCTAGCATCTTTACATACTGAAATACAGACTTGCAAAGAATGTTATACTGCAGACTGAAGGTATGTTTGTGCAGAAATACCTGAGGTAGCATGGATGGAGATATCAGGCTTAGATAACAGTCTAATTACGATTGCATGGAAATAAATCTCCAGGGAAGAGCACATGAGTCAAATCTGCTACAGTTTCAACACTATCGATACTCCAGCTAAATGGAACAGAGGATGAAACTGATTAGTCCACTATACGTGTAAATAAATAATAAGAATACAGAAATCTGAAAAAGTGAAGTATAATCAAATATTTTTAAGAAGGCTGCAAGAAAATGAGAAAGATTTGGCAAAACTATATAGATGGACATGAAACAGAAGAATGAAAATTTTTGCTTAGACATAATGTGTGATTTATAATAGAAACTAATAATAAAAGCCTGTATTATTCATTCCACAAATGGTATGTATTCATCTCCAGATACCCCTACATTAGAACAAAAACCAGAAGCTAATGGAAAGAAAAAATTTACATGCATGTGACAGTCAAAAACTGAAAAGTCTAGGAATATATATTTCAGATAAAAGTTACATGATATGAAAACATAAACATTCACAGTATTTTAAGAGTAAAATGAAACCTACTTTCCATCTACTTTCTTATAATGATAAAAAGGAACAGGGCCTAAAACTGCTCAATATGAGAAAGAAGTATAAAAAGCAAAATAAAAACAATTTTGATAGCGATCAGAGGAACTCCCTGTTGAAAAATATTACTCAGGCCATGAAGAGGGGTTATGGCTTGTAATAATTTAAATTCTTTTTTATTGTTATCTTTCAGAAAGTCACATTTTAAAGCACATGCTAACTATTAACTGTTAGAATCATGGATAAGTATCTGCTATAGATCTCCCATGGGTTTTTTGTTAGTGTGTTGGAGTTTTTTTCTTCCTTCGAGATATGGGACATTAGGCACTGTCATAAAAAGAACACTATGACTAAAAGACAAATTCATTTACCATGGTAATGTATTTTCTCTTGAAACACAAATATGAATGTAATAAGAATGTCCTTGAGAAAATTATTGTTAAATTCACATTAAGATAGTGCCATCTTAAAAGCATAATAAGAGAAAAAGGCTACACATATGAGCAGAATTCCTTGTAAGGAAAGCTCCAAGGGCAGGCGATAAATTAACTCAGAAGTTACTTATAGTTCTGCAGATTTTACTAATTAAAAAGATCTTTGCATTCTGAATTTTCACAGTCAATCTGCTAACACTTTTTTTCTTCTGTATTTTTTTTTTTTTTTTTTTCCTCCTGCATCTGACACCATAGCTAATCATCAGAACAAAACTTCAATATACATCTGACAGTCGTGTTGGCTGGTAGGCAATATACAGAGTATTCCTAAAAAACCCCTCTGCTGGCTGTTTCATTACAGCATTTTATCCTGCCTGAGCAAGTAAAAAGAAGCCTCTTAACAGCAAACAGAAAATTGAATTTCATATTTACTTTTGTCGTGAACTCAACCTTCTTACATTTGTCTTAACTGTAAAAACTATGGGGTTTTTTGTTAACTTATCTTGTACAAAAATGTATCAAACATATCAGGAGGGTTATCATACTGTGCTGAAAATTATCTTTTCAAATTTTAAAATGAAACACAAAACAATAATTCTAATTATATTGTTTTTCGTCCCAACTGAAATTAAATTATAAATATCCGAAGTAATAACAATTAAAAACTAAGATAGCTTTCAAAGTGCCTTTTCCATGGATAATCTGAAGGAAAATCCAGTATAAATTCTGATTAAAACTTAATCAAGCTAAACACTGTATCTTACCTAGATTTCAATTAAATGTGATGAATAAGCACTAGATAGATTTCAATTCCAATTCTATTTCTGTCAGAATTATCCATTAATGTTGAAGATTATATTATCAGAATTTGACCAATATAATTTTGCTTCAAATAGTTAAAATACAAGTGGACTTAAAAATCCAGTCACAGAAAACTCTCACTCCAATGTCAGATACTACGTATATGAAGTAACAAAAGTACGTTAATTTTATCCTGTTCCATCATTATTTATGGATTATTGGTAACAAATTTCTAGAGGCAGATTACATGCCACTGTGGAAATCTAGTTTTTAAAATGTGACAGAGAAATCCAGAAGTCCATAGAGCATAACCTTCAGCAAACTGTCAACAACCTTTCAAAGGTCTCAATTCAAGTTGAAGGAATCCTTGACTATTATATGCAAGTCCTGCCATACAATTTTCGTCATGATACTTTTGTTTTCAATTGCTTATTCATTTAATATTATACATGTTTACATGTTTTTTATCTGTACCATATTATTTTTAAAACTGAATCAAATTCATCTTAGCTAAATAATGATAATCTTTCAAAAAATTAAAGTATTATTTTAAATACTTCAACTATTAGAATGCAATGTCAGTTTCAACATCAACTAAAAAATACTAAATAAACTGGTTTGTTTTAGTTTTTCACATCACTCAAGCAATTCCATTTTCAATTACAATTCAGTAAATGTGGTTATTTTCATTGACTACAGAGTACATTAAAAATTATGTTCAGTTATGGCTATCCAGTTTTTTGGTTCAAACGCACTCCATGCTTTCTGAACTCTGAATTTAAAGTCCACCAATGAACTACACTGTTTTATGTCCACGGGAATGAGAAAGTTATTTAGTTATTAACTGCAAAAACTAACTATGAACCAAACAATAAGACAATAATCCTAATTTAGATGTAACATCTATTAGTCTTTATTCTGATATTTTTCTAGTAATAATGAGTTTCTTCCCCATCACTCAACTATAAAAAGGAAATATAAAGATATATATTCATACAAACAACCAAACAGAATGTGTACACACACACTTATATATAACCTAACATATCTTATGTTTCACTAGATAATACCATCTTACTTTTTTATTACTTACTCATTTATTGGGGGAATTCGTATTATAATAAAATATAATAATGTTGTAGACATTATTCAGTCATTTTTACTAGACTTGGTAATACCTTACCACATAGAACAAAATACTTTTATTGGGTCAATATGTCTATCTCAGTAAAGAGAAAAAGCAAATAACAATTAACCAGTGCTCTAGCTTCTGAAAAACTGAAATTTGTTTAGCCAAATTCATTCATCCAATTTATACCAGTGAATACACCACCCCTATTCCATATATCCAACAATTCCAACTGGATTAGCAAACCCATTATTTCATTGGCTAGTAAGAAATCTGTATATTTTGACATACAATAATTTATGTTATTGTTTACGGGCAAATTGAAACACAATGAAGTCAGTGCCTGACTTCACCAAATTTTAGATTACAGCCAATAAGTTAAATGCAGTAAATGAATTAGTGTTTATATATTTCAAATTCAAAAGATTTTTTTCAAGTCTAGATTTTTTTAGATAAAAAGAAAAACAGAAGTTGTGAATTAAATTACACTTATTTTGTAATTGATGAAAATTTAATAGACTGTATATAAGGTTTCAACATTTTCCCCTTCTATAAAAATAGATGCTGAATTTAAATTAGATGTTCTAAAAGTATTGTATAAAATAAAATGTGAAGAAAAGGGAAGGAACATCTTTCTTAACTGAATACTAAGAATGGGCTTGACATTCACTCAGTGTTGCTTTGGAAACAAGCTATACAATATTTTGGGGGAAAGACAATTCTCTTGAGTGGAGTTTTAAAATTCTACTGTATTTTTACTGATGCTCTACATTCTGGGAAGTTTCCTAAGTAGTTTTTGAACAACAGTAAAAACAAACAAACAAACAAAAAAAAAAAGAATAGGAAAAGAGGATATATAGTTCTTTTATTTAAAATGGAAAATAAGGAATTTAATTCAATTACCATTTCCCCAGATCTCTATGGGTACTTTTTAAATGTTTTAACTGCTTCTGCAGAATAGTTTTTAAATCGTATAAAGAGAAGAAGATTCTGGGTTTATTAGTAGTCTTATGTCCCATTATTTTGTATATCTGTATTTTAACAATCTTTAAAATAATTACAATTTTAACTATTTAATATATTTATTTATTTATTGGACTGACCTTTCAAAAGTCTACTTAGAATCACTTGCTAGTGAGATTATGTGTGTGAATGTTGTGTTTGCCCCTACCATTTTCCATATGCTCTGCCTCACCAACACTGCCATCCGGCGTAGTCCTTTCGTAGTTGTCCTCTGGGAGTGGAAGGGCACCCAGTCTTGGCCCTGATGAACTCTTACTGCTTGGTGTTTCTGACTCCTCCAGACCGCTGTCATAGCAACTCTGCAAAGACCCTTGATGTGGGTCCTGAGGCTGACTCACAACAGAAAACGTCACTCTACGAAATGGCTGCAAGAGAAAAGATTCTGAATGTCACTGAAACGTTCAGTCTATGAACAACTGATTCTCAAAACATGACTTAAGCAAACTAATATTTAAACATTTACTTATTAAACAATTTTGTCTAAATTAAATCAAACAGTAAGTACAGTCCTTAAAATGCCACTGGACACAACGTCTGGGGACTTTCAGTGTTATAGACAGTCCAGAACCGTCATGCAGTTTTGAACAGCCTCCTTTCAAACATTTGCATGAGCTAGGCAAACTACTTTATAATTGTTTATAAATTATATTCAGCTTTTCTTTTACTCAGTAGTAACAATTGGAATGGAGATCAATCAGACTGCATAAAGGTACTCGACATTGTGTGAATGCATACGTATAAGAGAGTTTGGGGATGTGTATAAATGCTCACATGCATATAAACAATATTGTTTTTAGCAACATAGCAGCACACTCATAAGCATTTTCCAAATTCACTTCCTTGAGTTTGAGATGCTAATTGAAATCAGAAAGTAAAAACAAAAACAAAAAAAAATGGGGGGGGGTGGGGGGTCAGGAGGAGTTTGGTTTCATAGCTTCCATAAAGCATGCCTGGAGATAGATGGTGTTGCCAGATTGCCAGATGACTTTATAATGAAGACTTTAAAGTATTGCAAACACAGCTGACACAGCCTGTTTACACTGGGACTGTGCAAATGTAGATCATTATAGATTTGTATTCATTTAACATGACAGATACAAATGTAGCTCAAGAAGTCAAAATGCTGAACTCAAAAATCAGTGAATATTCTCGAAAGTGGGAGAGTAGATCATTCACTTTTCTGAGGACAGTGAAGGCAGGTAGGATTTTCATTAAGAAATCTTTGGATTCTCCTACAATTTAAACTGCACTTGCACTACAGCAGTAATAATGCATTTGAAATAATTTTATGATACATTTAAAATAATTTACTGACTAGAAAGACTAGAAAATCACAGAAAAGCATCTGATATTCTAATATAGGACCTAATTTTACTGTATAGATCTGTATGTCCAAATACGTATATATATATTTATAAGTATATATATATATATTAAAAATGTGTGCATGCTGGTATATGTATGTTATAGAATGCATGTTCTAAAATAAACACTGACAGATCTGTTTTACAGAACACTATGTAGAGTTTCCTATGTATAGGAAGTGAGGTCTGAGAGAACCTCCTATCATATTCAGATGTGTTTCCAGATCTCTGTTACAATGACCTGGCCATTAATCATCCCTACTGGCACCTCTGATTACTACAGGGTAGAAACATGTATGCAGGCCAGAAGAGAGGAAACACTAATTACAGACACTTATGCTAGTCCTATACAACAGAAGATCATGTTAGATTTACAAGTAGAGGGCTGGAGTTTCACTTGGAATTAATATTTGTTACTATTTTTTTTTTTTTAATATAGTGTAATATTTAATGCTGAAGATAAATAGTTAGGACCAAAAAAAAAAAAAAAAAAAAAAAAAAAAGGAACAAAAACTAAGCCTTCCTGACACAAGTAGATCAGAAGCTTATACATGTGAGTGCTACTATTCTACTGGTAAGTCTCTGGCCTTTTAAAGATCCCTATTCTTCAAACGGAAAGTGCTTTCACAGCAGTTTTATTTAATGCTTCATGCTATATCAAATGCAAGGACAATAAAGAAGCACAGTAAAACAGAAGAATGGAGAGAACAAATAACGCACATTAAAAGAGAGCGTTAAAAATAGTTTCATCTTGTTGCTCCTTTCACTGAACTGAGAGGAAAAAGTATAAACCATAGAGGACAACTGCAACTGCTATGTTAAGATTGTACAACACATAATTTGAATATTTTTCCCCATAGTTTCTTAGTAAGATCTTTCTCTTCCACAATTATTCAGAAGGGTGCCATTTGCTCACCTAAAACCTTTAACAATGGTTTTAAATCATGAAGCCATTTTGCAACAGTCTGTACCACAGAATAACTGTCATTTGCATTGCGCTTTCATATTTTAATGGATTGTGTATTGTATAATTGACCATTTACACACATTAAATTACCTCAGAGAAATAACTAAATGAATATACTGTGTCATCATGGTTTTAGAGGTGAGCAACTGACTTTCTTTAGTCATTTTTGTTGTTCTTTTAATTATGGAAGCCGTCATTTCTTTTCTCGTACTTTGCAAAAGTGGACTTCTAAGTACATGAAAAGGTGCTGGACAAAGACAGTATTTCATATGTATCAAGAGGCTCTGTTGTTTTTTTTCCAATATGACTATTTTGTTATCAGCCCACTAATTCTGACAATTAGTCACAGAACTACAGTTCTGTGACTGCATGCAGAGCTAAAGTCCTTCCTGCTTGTTTCCCAGTCCGCATCAAATTATGCACATATGGCATGCTTGAGGCAGCCCTGCTTTCATCTTGTTTTATTATTATAGTAGTGTCTCTCGGAACCACAGCCCTGCACTCGTTGCTGTCCATCTCTGCCCATCACTTCCTTACTTGACTGTGAGTTTTACTTTCCTTCCACAGCCACTCCTAGTTTAAGGATCTAAAAGTAAAAATCCTTTGCAACAAGACCAGTTGTTGACCCACATGATCTATGTTAGGATTCAAGAGACACCATTTAATCCCACATGCTCTTCCTCTTCTGGCTAGCCTTGATACAGTCAACGTGTCCTCAGAAACTGCCACTGATGCTTAGATGAATGAGAAGGATAATAGTGTGAAGGATGAATAAGCCTCAGAAGGTTCTTCAAAACATCCTGCATCTGAGCACCTGGCAAACTGCACGCATGCCTACATATCAGGTCAGATCAGCAAATGGGACTCCTCACAAGAGGGCTTCTCTCTCTAATGCCTCATAAGGCAAATTTTTCACCCCATTTACCCCCAAAAGCAAATGAAGAGTTATCTGCCCTGTGTTACAAGAAGTCACAAATCTACAGTCTTCCCCTTCTTAGCAGTCTCTCAAGTGAGCACACTGGCTCTTATACCTTCTGTTAAGTCAGGGATTCAGGCCCTATGGGTGATATATATGTATGGGTATACATACTATATTCGTATTAATATAATAGTATTTATATCTAATAAATACATATGCTTGGTGGAAGAAATCTGCTTTCACTTAAAACAGCTGAGTATGTAAGCAATATCCATATGCTTGTTCTTGACAGAAAATTGCATTTTTATTTTAAACAAGTTCTAGTATAAAACACACCTCTTATCTTTGAAAAGGAATGGTAAAATATATTGTGGAATCATTCATACAAGCAAAAGTAATTTGTATGTTCTCTCTCATATTGTCTACTATAACATAGTAGTAAGCATACATAATACGTACTAGTAAGTACATACACATTACAGAAAAATTTGAAACAAATTTAGCATGATAGAAACACGTTAAAGATCATCTATTTCTAAGCATTTTATTGAAGTTCCATTTTAAGAAGATTTCTATTACTGAAAATTCATGATAGCTAATATATATATTAAAATGAATTCTAAATTTCCACTTGTTCAAGACATGATAGTATCACTTGATAAATAACCCTAATGGCTGTTATTTTGTTCAGCCCATGGGCTACAAACTCTCTGATTGACCAAAACTTCATGTAATGAAACTCTGAATACTGTAGCTACACATCAATTACTACTAAGTTCTAAACCAATGATACAAACTTTGTGAACTTCTCACAATTTGGATATACTTATTCCTTATCCCATAGGTTACTTCTGAATATCATACTATAACTCAGACAAGAAATTAATTGCTAGAGATACTGTGTAGACATTAGAAAACTTGCAAATTAAGGAGGCAGATTTCATAATTTCCCACAGATTGCTTTGTTTGTCTGTTAACAAGCCTCTCTGAGAAAACATTAAAGGATCTATTTGGAAGGCCCTACAGATCTATCTATATATAGCCATATGGTAATCTGATAACTATCACACTCTCAGTAAACTAGAGGAAACAGTTTAGCAGTCACTGTTTAAAAGATGCTAAGGGCTTTTTTGTACAGATTATCAGTGAAGTAGTAAAAGCAATGCACCGTAACACAGAGCTAAACTCAATGGAACCCATTCTTAAAACAGGAAGATCCTGCCCTTTATTCAGGTTACTCCTAGGAAAATGCACCTTCAGCTCTATCTGTAGGTAACTAGAGAGTGACACCTAGAGACCCTGGGGACTTTCAAGAATTCAAAGGTGGGATGCAAAGACTATCATTCACATATACCACACATCTGAATGGAGGAGATAAAAACCTCCTTTTCCAAATACAATCACTTGCCTGGGGTCATCATGTAGCCAAGGCATGCTGAGCCACAAACATTCTGCATCATCCACAGTTATTACAAGAAACAGAGATTCAACTTAAAATTGGAATTAAAAGAAATTTTCAGAAAGCTAAGCATTTATGTTCTCTTTACTACTTGATGAATGATATGCATATCAATTGTATTTTACTTCTACTGCCAGTACAAATATTACAGTTCTAACCTCTATATCATTTAGATCTCAGTCCATAAAACTTTTGAGAAAACTGTGTACTAATGAGATGAACTAAAGAAATGGAAGTTGGATATCAGGACTAATATTTCAAACAGATGTTCATCATAATTGCAAAAATAGAAACCCACACTTTAACCAGGAGTAACAAACTATATTCTTAATTTTGTGTTTCCATTGATAACATCATGTCAGTAACATTCCACAGAAAAGCAGCCACAGAAAATTTCCAAGTGCTGACAAAATAAGGCACATGCCCACAAGAAGAGAAGAGAGGGTTATGTGGGTTATGTTTAGCTTTGTCTATTTTCAGTGCACAATATTAACATAGCTCCATCTGCCAGCACTGTGAATCAATGCGGTAAAATTGCCTTTACCCAAATAAGCCTGCCTTTCCCAGGAAAACGGCAATCCTTAGCCTTTACTAGTACCACAGCAATCTTTACTAAGGATAGTCCTTAGTGCTGGATTCACAGCACATACTGTATA